TTCAAAGTAAATTTTAACTTGTTCTTTTTATTTTAACTTCTAAACTACATCATTTCCACTAGCATTCATTATGTTAGGCATCCCTTCATCATCAAACTTCTTGGTGAAGACCAAAACAAAGAAGTCATTAAGCACCTCTGGCATTTCCAAGTTTTCTGTTATTGTTTCTCCCTCTTTACTGAGCTATGGGCCTACCCTGTCCTTGGTCTTCCTCTTCCTTCTAATATATTTATAGAATGTCTTCTTATTACCCTTTATGTCTAGAAAACAGGAGCTATGAGGAAAGACTGAAAGAACTGGGCTTGTTTAGTTTAGAAAAGAGAAGACTGAGGGGACATGATATCAGTTTTTAAGTATCTGAAAGGGTGTTATAAGGAGGAGGGAGAAAAATTGTTCTCCTTGGCCTCTGAGGATAGGACAAGAAGCAGTGGGCTTAAATTACAGCAAAGATGATTTAGGTTGGACATTAGGAAGAACTTCCTAACTGTCAGGGTGGTTAAACACTGGAATAAATTGCCTAAGGGGGTTGTGGAATCTCCATCACTGGAGATATTTAAGAGCAGGTTAGACGAATACCTGTCAGGGATGATTGGTCCTGTCGTGAAGGTAGGGGACTGGACTCGATGACCTCTCAAGATCCTTTCAGTTCTAGTGTTCTATGATTCTTGGAGTCCATGATTTTATCTAGTTCTTTTTTGAACCCTGTTAAAGTCCTGGTCTTCACAACACTTAACAAGAGTCTGTGAGGTAATAACATTGGGGTGGTAATTGGGGAAGCTCACAGACACTAACCTTCCCCCCTTACCCTCCTCTGTTCTTAAATCTGATTCGTCAGTTTTATATGTGTTCATTTTTTTGGATTGTATCACTTTGGTATATATGGTTGTGCCAATTTTCTTTCACATATTGATCTGAGGAAGTCGGTCTGGCCCACAAAAGCTCATCACCTAATAAATCATCTTGTTAGTCTTTAAAGTGCTGCATAGTCCTGTCTTTTGTTTCAGCTAGACCAGACTAACATGGCTGTATCTCTGTCACTGTTCCTGCTATCACATCCCTCCCTTTCTGTTTGAGAAGAATGAATCACTTTCCATGCATACCCCACTGTCCTGGCACAACAAACCTTGCTTTAAGTTAGAATAACAGGAAGCAGCATACCAAATTTGATGGTCCCTGCTCGTACACTTTAGGAGGAAAGTAATAGAGATGTAGCCGTGTTAGTCTTTAAAGTGCTGCATAGTCCTGTCTTTTGTTTCAGCAAGACCAGACTAACAAGATGGTTTATTAGATGATGCGCTTTCGTGTGCCAGACCCTCTTCCTCAGATCAAATTGTGGAAGAAAATTGGCATGACCATATATACCAAAGGGATACATGATAGCTTCCCCAATTATCACCTCTAATATCATTCTCTCACAGACATTAACCCTCTCCCCCACCCCCCTTCTAAAATCTGATTTGTCTATTTTATATGTGTTCACTTTTTTTTATTGTATCCCTTTGGTATATATGGTCATGCCAATTTTCTTCCACAATTTGATCTGAGGAAGAGGGTCTGGCACACGAAAGCGCATCATCTAATAAACCATCTTGTTAGTCTTTAAAGTGCTGCATAGGCTTGTCTTTTGTTTCACTGGGGTTCCCTTCCCCAGGAGAGGAAGCAATGACACATTGCTGGTCATTGGTTAAGAACTGCAGTGCTTGGTCTGATTTCTTTTCAGGAGCCTAAGGCTCTATCTATACATACCGCGACAAAGCTCCTTAAATTTAGCGGGTCCTGTGCTTTCAGACAGTTTTCAGGCTCACGACAGCCCTTAATTTAGACACTGGCTTGCTGTTTGTTGAACTGCTATCATTTTGGCCACCCTGGGGAAAAGAAAAAACCCAAACTTCATAGTCTTTGCAATCCCTCCCAGCGGTACAGGGTAGGACAATGCTTGTACCAAAACCAGTCTCTTTCTAGTACCAAAGTAATGTGCTGGTCGGGAGGGATGGGAGGCCCAGGCCCACGCTCTGCTCCAGGTTCTAGCCCAGGGACCTTGTTATAGCAGCTGTCTGTAATGTTCCTGATGACAGCTGCATGATAGCCACAAATCCATGGGTCACTTCCGTACAGCCTTCCCTAGCACCTTCCTTGCCACAGGTTCTTCCTCCTGGTACCTGCTTACACTAGGGATGTTAGCTATCGGGTACTTGAATAGTATTGATTACTCAACTATTCTGTATTCCCCGGGGATGTCAGCCAGTGTGCTCTAGCCCCACTTTCAGGGAGCCCCCTGCCACCCTGCACTGCTGCCTCTCTATCCGCAGGGGGATCCAAGCTCCCATGGAGCAGCCTCTGTCCGCCGTGAGCCTGGACCTGAATTTAAGAATCTGTAAACTGAAGTTTAAACATACATTAGGTATTGAACATAACAGGAGTATTCATATAATCTGTTGAGATCTGTACAGACTGGGCAAGTTTGACAGCTGGTTCATTATTTGCCTATTTTGTTACCTCCCCTGTCATTACTATAGCCCCCCCCCCCTCGGTTGGGGAAGCCCAGGGTGGCAAATCCAACCACAAGAGGATCCAGGTCTCCCAGGCAGATGACTCTGCGCAGCAGGATGGTGTTAATGGCCCTCACCACCTGCAGAAGGAGACAAACAACGACACAAAACAGATAATTAAAGGGTCTGCCTGAGCCCTTGGGAGGTCCCCAAGCTCCCCCTTCTTCCTCTCCCCCTTCCCCACCAACACCCCAGCAGCCAGCCCCTATTAAGCCCCTCCCCCCCAGGGCTGTGTGAGGGCGGGACTGCAGAACCCCCGGAGACAGGGCTTCCAGGCCACCCCCCACACACCCAACCCTCTTTTCCCTAGGGTCTCCCTTTCCAGTATGTGAGCAATCTGTGCTATATATAAATCCTATTTTGGGAATAAATTATTACCATTTTTCTGAAATATACTATGTCTCTATACCAGATGTTTGCATAATAGTTTAATACCTGTAAATTATTATCTTAGGGTGCAGAGCAGGCGAGGGCAGCATTACTCCGCTTCCCCTTGCTGGTAAATGCTAGAGGGCCGACCCTGTTGCTGGTACAGACCCCTGCTAGTCCCCCGAGCCACATCGCTTGGGGGAGGTTGGGACAAGAGGCAGGGCAGGGAGAGACGAAAGCAGGGCAAGAGTGGGGCCTGAGATGGAGGGGGCTTATCGTAGCCCTCCCCTGTGCTAGGAGTGGTGTGGGAAGGAGTCACACTGGGGTGGAGTGCAGGTCACATGACCCTATGTTCATCCTCACCAGTTGCCCCTGTGCTCAGAACAGAAATGAGGTACACTGCTAGCACAATGAGGGGAAACTGGATAGGACCCTGATATATTTTTTCCATTAATAAAGACAACTTTTGGAGCTGTTACTTTGACTTCTTTCATTATGTTTGTTTAAAAGAAAATTGTGGACACTGCCTTCAATTCACCCTACTGCGCAGTCTGTAAATATGTTTAGTATCTTCTGCTCACAAAAGAGCCAGGGTTAAAATCTGTCCTTGTTATTTTTACAAAGTTTGAAAAACTCAAAGTGGGGTTAGCTGAGGATGGAATATCATCCTGAACTTTGAATTTCTTGCCTTTTGTCAGCTTGATTCATACCATAAACTCTATTTAAAGATAATTCTTTCATATTTATTTTCCACATCCTTGACCCTGAATGTTGAGCTGGACACTTGTATTTTCATTGGCAAACTCTAAGCCACTCATCAACTCTTTTTTTCCGTTTGTAAACAAACTGCTCTGTCAGTATTTTCCAGAAGGATTTTTATACCACCATTTTGCAATGACTTCAGGAGTTGAGAAAATCTTACTATTGAAAAAACGTGCTTTACAGAGAGTTATATGTGTTATATGTTCCTGTGTCCAGTGTTTTGTGGGGCTTTGTCAGTGATTATCCAAATTCTAGAATGGTCATATTTTGCAGGGATAGGTGTTAATGGAAATTGTATACAAATATCAATTACAGTCCCTCTGAAAATGTAGTAGTTTTTATTTGTCAGTTTTGCTGATATTAATAAAATGCAATATTTACCCAATTTCCACCCATATGACAGCACTTTTAATAAGCAATGACAGTACAGGAATTTAACTCCTAAAACTCACATCAACAGAAGACAATTATATTGACTACTTTTTTGGTTTGGCTCCCACCCACAGGCCACAAACAAATGGGCCATCGGCCACATGCGGACCCGCGTGTTGAGTAGCCCTGCTTTAAGGGCTCTCTTCAATGTGGAAGGGGTGAGAAAGGAGAGCAGGAATGGACAGAAAGGACAGAAACATTTTGGAAACAAGTTTTTGTACTGTAGTAATTAACATTAAAATGTGTATTTTAGATAAGGGTGATCTTCTGAATAATGTATTTGAAAAATTATATGTCTGAAGAGCCAAGCATTTCAGGCTAAAGCTGAATACTCAGATTGTGCATCTAAAAATGAAAGGGGAAACAAATTTGTAATACTGTATATACATTTTCAGATTGAATTAAATTAGCTGCTATTTGTGGGTCATACTGCTGGTTATTCTCAAATATTTGGGTGGTCACTGATTCTTCCAGCTGATCACAAATTCCTAACATTTTATATTGAAAATATTTATTATTCATCATTTGTTGTTTTCCTCTTATTTGTCAAACAATCAGCATTCAGAAACAATACTAAGGGACCAGCCACACACCATATACGATGAATAGCAAACAGCCAAAGTAATAGCTCAGAAAACCAATCAAGTTATTCTTCCAGACTATTATAGGAAATAACTACAAGTGCCCAAGTGTGTGTGTGCAACTAAAAAGATTGATTTGCAAATGATTTACTGATTTAAAAAATCTCAAATTCACTGAGCTGTTATTTCCATTAATACTATTTGACTACCTCCAGAATGGATGATCCATAATTTGAGTTTGTGGTGTTATAAAGTATTTTGGAAGCATACTTGAGATACTGAAATGTTCCTTGTTTTCTCATTACAGATTTGGGACATGAGTGATGATGAAACAGTCTGAAAGCCAAATGAATGAAGTGGAAGATGGCCTGCATTAGGCTGCAGTGATGTCTTTTATCTATCATTTGACAAGTTAATGATTGGCTCACACATTTTGACTTACAAATATAATCAAATATAATCTATATCTGTGCGATAATGGGACATTATCTTGAACTAAAAAAATAATACTGTCAGTGTAATTCACCTCTGGTTTTCATTTTTATCCTATGCATGAGGTAACTATCTTGCTAGAGCAGTATGGTTATGTTTAAATTCACTTTCTATTTTTTTTTCAGCTTCTAACCATAGCTTACATATAAAATATGCCACTTTAACTAGCCTTTAGTGTTTTTATTTGTCCCAGTTTTCATTTTACTTGTCAATAGATGAAAAATATAATGTCATTTAGACATATCTTTCAAGAATATATGGCATTTTATAAATATTTTAATATTCAAGCTATAAGAAAATTCTCTTATAAGTGGGAATTAAATCACATTGTTATTTGAAGGAATGGGGAAACGGTAACCAAAAACCCTCCTACGTATTAGTACTATGTTAGAAATCACGTTGTAACATGCTAGCCCCTCTCTTTATTATAATGCAGTGGATCATGCCTGCGCGTATGGGAACAGTCTAAGTTTCAGAATATTAGAATCCTGTAAAAGGCTTCCCACTGTAGCATGATTCCATACTGTGGATAAAGCATCATTTGACATTGCCTACCTAGTGAAGACCAAACTGTTTATTTCTTGATTAGGAGCTATAATATTTATAGTAAGATCCATTCCACAGTAAAAATTTATCTGAAAGTAGGACTTTGGCTAGATGAAAATGTACAGCATAACTGAGATATAGATATATATAACTTGTTCTCCGGCTTTATCATTCTTAAATCCAACAAGCATCACATTCATTGACACCAAAACAGTGCTAACCTTAATCTCCCATTGGAGGCATCTGAAATGTTTCATTCTTGCTGGTGCAAAAGACCAGAGTTTGAAACCACAGAGAAAAACAATAATTTTTAATCTCAAAATTTTAAAATATCAAGTGTATTACTACTTTAAATGTAAGGGGAAATACATCAATTGTTTTGCATCTTGAAATAGCTAAGAACAAAAAGTGTTGTAAGCATCTTTTCCAGCTTAAATCCAGTTATTTCCATGGTTTCATTCATGAGAAAAATGGAAAGTGCATTATTGTTTGTTTTCTTCCAACCATTCTTTCCTTTGCATTTAAAACCATTCTGTCTTTTCTCTTAAGAAAAGGTACAATAATCTACCCAATTTGTCAGCCAGTCAAATTATCTTGTGTTTTTTCTCAACCTTTAATTAAGTTCCAAGTTTCTGAATATAGAAGTCAGATCAACTTGTACATTTACATGCTAAATTGATATATCATTTGGGGGGAAGATTTATAAAAGTTAGCTCACCCAGAGCACAGGATGCCCACAGCTCCTAAATTATGAACCTAAGCAACATCTTAATGAAATGCAGGACCCTTTTCATGGGATATTAGTCTCATCTTCTTATTAAAACTTATATATTTTTCAAATACTGTAACCATAAATGAATGCCTCAGCTAAGTGTAATATAAAATATATTGTACTAATCTAGCTACAACATGAGTCATAAAGACTAGTGATCAAACAGAAAGCTGACATCTTGACTAGTTGATAATGAAAAGTAACACAGGGAAAGTAAAGTTTCCATTTGTATGCAAGGGAAAGTATGGTCTTTTGATGAACGCAAACTAACAAAATACATATGATAAATAGCCTTAGAAGTCCCTGATTCTCATGTATTCAAATGGGCTGTAATTTTTTCAGTTCTGCTGTCATCAGACTGGATCTCAGGCTAGGAAGTATCAATATAATGACAGTCTCCATGGAGAAACCAGAATCTTGTATTATTCATAGTTACTGAGATAGAGAAAAGGAAAAATCTAATTTGAAATTGAGCAGACTTGATTATCTGAAACTCCAAAAAAGAGTTATGTACCCCCCACCCCCAGATTTTTATTAATAAAATTGAAAAATCCTTCAAATGATCTGAAACCATGTTTGTCCAAATAAAGTTATGCTGCATTGTTAAGTAGTAAGTATCCCTTTAACTATTGAAGTATATAAGATCTAAATCTCAGGGTTAATATGACGTTTCCTTGCCTCTGTAATTTCAGTAAAGTACAACTGTGACAGACTGTGCTTCTTCCTGTACATACGCTTCCCAGATGTCTGATGTTCCAAAACACTCCAGTTAACTTGAAAAAGCTTCCATTGTCTCACTTTACTGTTTTCTTTCACCCTGAAAATCAGAATTGTTCTGTTTTGCTTCAAAACTGTTTTAATCGTTTAGCGAGGAGGGAAATATTGAAAGCATATATCCACATGAATGAAAGCATATATTACAAATGGTATGAGCAGCTAAGTACTTTTATTTACTGACTTACACTTACAGCACAAAAGTTTTAGAGGGGTAGCCATGTTAGTCTTTAACAGGAAAAACTTAAAAAACAACTAATACTCTTACAGCACCTTAGAGACTAACAAAACTTGTAGATGGTATCATGAGCTTTCGTGGGCAAAACCCACTTCTTCAGATGAGTGGAGTACGGTTTTGGCATAGCTCTCCCATCTGCTGCTGTTGCTGCTGAAAGGAGGAAATTGAAATTTGAACTTCATGTAGAGAATGGGGGGTTAATTTTATTTTTGCTGGAATGAGCTCATACGCAATGAAAGGGCAAAACTCATCCCTTCTGCAGGCCAACAGCTGCCACTACCTTTAGGACGTTCACCCAATCTGGTTGGCGTAGTAGAATGTGTAGCTTCCTCTGACATTGCTGTTATTACCTCTTCAGAAAATACCTAATGTAAATGTAGCGATACCATAAAGCAGTTCAGGCAGCATCCTTGCTTTTAGAGACAACTGTGCCATCTGCATAACACATCTGTGGCTAATTTTAATTCTGCTGTAATTCCATTGACTTCCATGGAAATTCACCAGGTATAAATTTAATACAAAACCAGAGAATTAATGTCTCTGAAATTCATAGCTTAAGTCTCACTTTCAAACATCATCAACTGAAGATAATTTTTGTTGATGCCATCTTGTCAATGATGTATTTGCTGGGTACAATCAAAATGTTGTCCAATATTAATACATTCATGAAAAGAAGAAACCTGATATTTTCTGTTTCAAAGTACATTTTGGACACAATTTATTTTAGGTTATTGCTAAATCTATAGCCATCAGGTTAATTCTGGGTGCTATAATCCCAATTTCATGGTGCACTTGCCATTTGTCTTTGTAATCTGTTTAAGCATGAAACTCACCCACTAGGGCAGATCTTCAGCAGGTATGAATTGTAACTTGCACCAGTTGCGAATCTGTCCCATGACAACATGACCATTATAAAAAGGGCACAAATATGTGGGAACTAATAAAAGGGTGACTTTGCACCATGGAAAGATTTCATGATGCAAAGACTCTTCCCATAGGCTGGCCTGAAAAAGCACAATGGCTCACAGGGTCTGTGTCAAGTGCAGGCAAGATGTGGCCTATGGTCCAGATCCAACCCACCAACCACTTGATCCAGCCTGCGGGCCACCCTGCCAGAACCCTCAGTCACAGAGCAGTCCCACACTGCTTTAAGCGGCTTTGCTCCCTGTGGCTCTGCTTCGGGCGAGCCATGGGGGAGAGGAAGGCTATGCATGCTGCCTCCACCCCCAGCACAATTTCACAGTTCCTGTTTCGAGCCATGGGGGAGAGGAAGGCTATGCATGCTGCCTCCATCACAGTTCCTGTTCACCGGTTCCGGCCAATAGGAGCTGAGAGATTGTGCTAGGAGCAGGGCACCGTGTGAAGCTTCCTCCTTTCCCCAGTGCCCAAAGTAAAGGGCCACAGGGAGTAGCCTGCTGTTTTGAACCTAGGTAAGCTCCACACAGTCAGAACCTGCCTCTTGGCACCCCACCCCTCCCCCACCACATTTCTCTGTCCCAGGTCATCACTAAAACCCTCTGCACTTCCTCTCTCCCAGATCACAACTCCCTCCCAGCCCTACACCCCTTCATATACCTCTCCCTTTAAGCCAGATCATTTCCTGCACAATATCCCTTCTGGACCATGCACCCCAGTCCCCTATTCCAGATCACAATCCCCCTTTCACCCAAACTCCCTCACAGATCCTACACGCTCTCCTGTGCCCAGTCCCAGACCCCCACTCCACTTCCATAGAAAAGTGTGGCTCTTGACAGCAAAATCTTGGGAGTGGGCCCCCATCAGTAATTTTTGCCCACCCCCTGCTCTATGTCCACACAAATCCAGAGGGCCCAAGATCTAGGTGAAATCCTGGCTTCACTGACCTCAATAACAAAAACGCTCATTACCCGAACTGTCATTCCCCAGTGCCTCTGGGGCAAAGGGTACACCCCAGCCTGGGGGCTTATGTGAGCTTAGGCCAATAGGTTTGAAAAAATCCTCATTCTGCCTGCATAGGGCCTGGTTACCCGTAGCTCTTTGCGGGGGCGGCGGGAGGATTTCAGCCTAAGTGAACTCCAGTGCTATAAATTGACATACTCTTTTTGCTGGTTTTGATACCCATTTTTGTCCCATACTTTCTAAATAAATCTCACATACTCTTTTTGCTGGTTTTGATACCCGTTTTTGTTCCGTACTTTCTAAATAAATCTCGGTGTGAAGATTGACTATATTCACCTTTCATGTGTGATGCACGTACCACTAATGGAACTAAGAAAAATGTATATTTTGTCCCAGTCCAACCTGCCTGTCAGCTTTTAAATAACTGTTATTCTTCTTTGAGTGGTTGCTCATGTCCATTCGAAGTAGGTGTGCGCGCCGCGTGCACCACGTCTTCCGGAGTGTTTTCCCTAGCGGTACCCGTAGCGCCGGCGGGGCGCCCCCTGGAGTGGCGCCGCCATGGCGGGGCATAAGTACCCCCTTCTTACCGCCGTGTCGGTCGTTGGAGCGTCTCTCTCTCTCTATCTGTTAGGCTTAGATAGTTAATGGTTCCCGTTTCTCACATTGTTAATAGTTTGTGTAGTTAGATAGTTAGGTTTTTTGTTTTTGCTCCTTCCCCCCTTGGGGGTGAGGAATGCCAGGGCCGCAAGGCTTCAAGGCGTGCGCTGACTGTGGGAAGTTTATGCCCAGGGGTGACCCACACGACAGCTGCCTTAAGTGTCTGGGTGAGGCTCATCTGGCAATTGCCTGCAAAATCTGCAAGTCTTTCAAGCCCCATACGAGGAAAGAAAGAGTTTCCCACTTGAAGCTTCTCCTGATGGAGACGGCGCTTCAACCGGTACCGCAGGACCAGCCTGCGGTGCACAGCGTATCAGCCTCCGCGCGCGAGGCCGCACACCGGCACCGGGCATCAACGTCGAGATCCCGGCACCGGTCTCACTCTCCACCATCTAAGAAGGTGAAGAAGTCCCGGGGCAGGTCTCCATCTAAAAAGCCAATGTCGGCTGGACACCGCAGCGGCAGTTCACCGGTGCGTGTTTCCCCCCCGGTGCACTGTCGGCACCAAGGGGGCCTGGTGAGCCCTGGTCGCCTGCCCTCTCATCGTCCGTCTACGCCGGACACCTTTGAAGCGGTGCAGGACCTAATCAGTCTTACGACCTCCCCACCGTCATCGGTCAACTCGGACGGGTCGAGGTCGCCCCCGTTGGAGGCTCGGAGGGCACCGCCGTCGCCCATGCATGGCCTGGGTCGGCATGCTATGGTGGCTTATGCGTCGGGACCACCCCCGGTGGGGTCGGCTCCCGCTGCTACTACGGCACCCTTTACGGCGCCGAGCCAACATATTGTAGGGGAAATTTCTCCAGGGCTCAGTTTTATTCTCCCACACCTCACTTCCCTCAGTCCTTTATTCTCAAGCTGAGGTGTCTGCTGAGAAAAGCCACTCCGCGTCTCCCTGGTCTGCTGAGGGAGTGGCGCTAGCTTCGCGTCTCCCTGGTCTGCTGGGGGGAAGCAGCTAGTGCGGGGTTGCCTCACCCCGTTTGTAAGTAGGGATCTGATGTAAGTCGGATCCATGTAACCCGGGGACTGCCTGTATCTGGGAACGAACTACAGGATTCCTGACTCCGACTTAAGTTTCCTACCCATGCTGACTCTTATTTGATCCTGTCTGTAGCCCTTCTTCAGTCAACTCTGCAATTCCATGAGATACATACTGTGCAAAAGAAATTACATGTCTGGTCTGCTCCAGGCTCCTGGGCCATATTGCTTTTTTTTTTTTTTTTTTTTTTTTTACGCTTTTGAGAA